TTAGTAACTAAGATGTATTTTACTCTAAAAAAATATTAAATTTTGAGCAGACTAAAGACACAACCTACCTCATTCAAATCTTGGTTCAAAAGAAAGAAAGAAATGGCACTAGTCACATTAGAAAGGCTGAGAAAACCACTAGGGGGACATTCAGAGCTTCCAATTGGTTATTCATGTCATATATGGAAGTAAGTGTATGTAAGGGAGCATTTCCAAAAGTAGAATAAGTTGGGCGGATTGCCACTGTGTTTGATTTATTACATGAGTATATCTTAGCAAATAGAAAAGATAAGACCTTCTTATTTTATATTATAGTTTGTCAATATCAGTAATTTGAGTTTCTAATTCATATGAAACTACAGACTTAGTATTTTGGCTTCACAAACATATTTTTAACCAGTGCTGCATTCAACATATCACGTGACACACAAAAATCGACGTTTATCTTTTTTTTTTAAATATTTACTTTTAAATTAAGAATTTGAGTAATGTATGGTTCTAAAATTTGAATTATAATCTACAATTTGATACTAAACTTATTGACATACATTCATTAAAAAGTAGTTCAATAAAATTTTGAATGCGAGCCAACAAACGAGATGACATGGCCTTTCTCCTGTGACCCATCTCGAAAGGTTTAACAAAGACTGCAAGCACACAAACAAATACATATAAATATTTCATTTTGAAAACTACATTAAAAAATAACTCTTTTAACAAAGATTACCTACTCCCTCTCAGAAGAGGGTAGTCTATACACACTACACATAAGTACATAATACAAAAAATAAAAACCCTTTAACTCAGGTATCATAACTACAATTCAAAATAACACAAAATGCAAAAGTTAGGAAATGAAATGTCTGACACTCATGCAGAAATACAAAATATATCCATTAAACAAAAAAAGTAAATTGAAATATCTTAAAATACATTTACAATATAACAAAATAAACAATGGTAAATGACCCTTTCAGTACAAAACATAATGATTTGTTTGTTTGTAGCTTAGCACAAAGCTACACAATGGGCTATCTGTATTGTGCTTATCACAGATATCAAAACCCATTTTTTTTAGCATTATAAGCCTTCAGACTTACTGCTGTTCCAATGGGGGCTAGTGATGAAATAATAAAGTAAAAAAAAAAGAAAGAAAACCATCTGACATTAAATACACTTTGACAATAATAAACTTAAAAATATAGAAAAATATTCTTTAACAGAATCCTAAACCCTATTAATATAACAGCTCTTGCAAGTAGGAATCTGAAATTAGTTTGAACATTCAAGTTTCTACTGTTCTTCATACCATGGCTGATGTTATGGGAGTGACTAGAATTTCTTGCCTGACACTTCAAAGACAAAATGTAAACTTTAGCATACCCTTTTCATCAACACTACATGTCAATATACTTAAACATATGAAATGAAAATAGCATAAAAAAAAGCTTAAAGGACTTTGAATCCACTGTACCAACTGAACCAAATGATGCAATTGAATAGTCTTGCCAAGTATTTAAGGACAGAAAAGAACAGGGGGCTAAATTTTAAAAAATCAAAACACAGTTTCTACATAACTTGTGTGAATTTCCCTACTGCGGGTACACTTAACTTGTAAATACTTGTGTTGGTTTTCATATGAATTGTTGGATCCATCAAGCAAAACTGATGTGCTGTATGAATAGAAATTAGTTAACTAATGGTAATTTCAAAAACATACCCTTGTAGCAACATATACAAAATCCTTGGTTGATGATCATTTTATAGCTGGCTTCTATTGTAAGTGTAATACTGATGAAGACAAACCCACTGTTTTTAATATGCCTGATCTGTACAAAATATCTGAATTTGGTTTTGAAAAAGGCTTTTAGTTATTGATGCATGGACAAAAAATACAGGATTATGGTTTGAACCTATTGTACAGCTGTTAAAAATGTTGTTTTGCAATGTTACTTGGAAATTTCAAGTAATCTTACTCTGCCAAACCTTACATCCAGTGTGTACAGTTAAAACACATATGTGCATCAACTAAAACATCGAGGTATATGTATTTCATTCGAGTAAACATGCCTTAGAAGTCCTTCTGCTGTGACAAAACTCACCTGAGGGTCTCCTTTTGTAGAAATGTTGCTTGCATCCAAGTTTTTTATTTTATACTTATTTTTTGTTTGGCTTTTATAAAATGGATAAAAATAGTGCTCCTTCAATGCCAGACAAAACTTTGATGTGATATTCCCATGATTATAATTTACTTTCTTGTACATCCAAAACACACCCAAAAACCATGACAAGATATAAAAAATAGATGACACTCATAAAATAATTTTAGCTGCAGTGCCTATGACTTTTATGTTACAGATTTTAGTTGAATAAGCATATATGACCATAAATAGTTAATCTAATACTATTCTGCATCCTCAAAATGCTCCTAATCAAAACAAAAACCAATGGCATGGGTATTGATCTCTGAGCCATCACTGAAAGTGTCAGTGTAATGTATTGTAACAATTTCTTTTGTTTGTTTGCTGTTAAGTGCATATGAATACAATAGGCTACCTGTACTGTGCCCATCATGAGTATCAAAACCTGGTTTTTAGCATTATAAGCCTTGAGATTTACCACTGAGCCATCAAAAGGCTGTATTGTAACATAACCTGAAAACACTGCACTATATATTACAGTTTAGAAAAAAGGAAAAACTGAAAATATATTTTGAAATAAATTTGTAAGTAAAATATTGGATGTTTGTGTTTCATAGCCATATATGTTACAAAATAATTTCAGAAGCGGCAAATTAAAAAACACATACATAATGTATTCCTGTATCTGTGTACATATGCAGCTTTTCAAAGGTAATCAAATATGGTGCTTGAGTTTTACAGTTTAACAGCTGTAAATGCCCAACATATTCATATGGTGCAGCATCTTTAAAATGATACAATTAAATATTTATTTAGCTCAATATGTTGATTTAATGTATAGATGGAGTATAAATAGTATTCATAACATCCTTCAAGAACTTATGTGTATGAGTGGCAACTACAACAATAAAAAAAACAGGGAAAACACTTTTAAAATTATACGACGGGTCCAATCTTTCCATCATCATTCAATTAGAACAGCACCATTGAATTACAAACTTAAACGTTAGTTTAGTTTCATTTCTATTAATTATTAACTATGAAGTCCTTTAATGGCCACAATTTCCAAGTCAGGAAAACCCTTAAGTCCTACAACAGAGAGGACAGCCAATCAAGGAATGCATTAGGCCTCTACACCACAGATACTCTCTTCTGTAGAGTACAGTTTCGCCTATTTAAGGCCATAAGCAACATACAATGACACACAAAGTAGATGATATGATATTATTAAAGACTCATCCAACATCTTATGCAGTAAATAATTTTACTGCAAAGTTTCCTCAACAATGAAAGGGACCTTTTGAAATTAATGTTTAACTCTTTTAGTGTTAAAAGGTTGTAAATCCAATACAACTGTGGGATAATTTCATGTTTTTAATATAAAGAATTATGTTTTCTTCCCTTTTGCAGTTTGCAATTTTTAGCTCAGTGGAAGTGATCATGATAGCATGCCAGCCAAACTACATCTATGATGTGACATCTTTCTTTCCTGGGACTGTCTGACTGTGTATCTTGCTACACCTTCAACTATGAAAGAGCATGTGTTTGCTTGGAAGCCCCTCAACAAGCTTATTGGTAGAACTTCCTCTTTATCTGCAGATAACATAATAATGCTAGGATATACCTTCCCATGTAGTTGTCACAGATAATTCATAATGGATTGCTTGGCCTTTCATGGGTTGAAACAAAAGCAGATCATATCTATAGTCGTGTTCTAGACCCACAGCTACTCCTCAACAAACACTTTATGTCACTGAGTGCTGAACCATCCAGAGTAGGTACAAGACATTCAGTAAACCATTTCCAGCAGTTACTTAACTGAAACTGATTCATATCCTTTTTGAAGGTTTCCAAATGCCTAAATCCAGTGTTCCTACCATCAACTGGGTGAAACACTAAAAATGCCTATGCAATGCCATTATCGTTTTGTTTGTGGTAAAAAACTACAGACATAACAATTTTTACTTGTATTCACTGCCTGGGAGGCTTCTGGTTGCACTAAGGGTTTCCAGTCTCTTGGTGCAGCTCCTCCTCATGAACATTAATTGTCCACATCTCCAGCTGTCTCCTGATCTTTGGTGACTCCAACCAGCACTGCAGTTTGCCATTACTAATTGATAGGCATCTAGAAGTCATGTATAGAGATTGCCTCATTTAATCTTGAGTTACACAGACCTCTAATCACCATGGCAGTCAGTCTAATGGTTAGACAACCTCAAGCTGGAAGTTACTAATAGTGGTCACATTCTATATAATAATAATTTGTAGATAAAGAATTAATAGCTTTTGGAGCTAAGACAGGATCACTCTTGAGTGAACAGAGAATATTTGTGTGGCCAAACTGCCCAAATTTACTCAACAGCTTGGATTGGCTACCCATAAATCTAATCATAGGTCATCTTACTGTCACTTCAACACAATGTCTTCTTGCATGTACTCTTCAGCTGAAACCAAGTCACAAAAACACCAATGTTAGTTTTACCTCAGGCACCTTCCCAAAACAGGAAGGCACAGGCTCTTAGATCACTCCACTGTATACAACTTATCTAGTGACTAGACTGGCACAAATTAAAGCTGACCAAGCTTTATTCAAGAAAGTTAGCTAAATGTAGGAAAATATGTTTTTAACAATTTATCTGAACATACCTTAAATACGACACATTCATAAGCTAATCATATAAAGGCTAAGACTATTAATTTTTAATCATCACATCAGTATCTTAAGCATTGATGATAATAGCTTAATTCAGTTATCACAGAGAAATAATTACAAAAATGTTGGTTAACCCTCCATATGGGTTTGGTCATTCTGACTAAACTTGCAACCATGAAACTATACAAATTATAATTTTTAATGTATTAAGTGTATCTTCACAAAATTTGGCACTACAACTCTTTCATATATAAAAAAGTTAGATTTTTTAACTAAGTAACTAAGTTTTTTAACTTTTTGAAATTAAAAGTTATATAATACCAAAATTTGATTTATTAATAATGTGTTCATACCAAGTTTACTGATATACATTAATAATAAAGTAGTTTAAGTTTTAAATGTAATTCTGTAAAAAGGTAATGATGTGAGCAATTTGACATACCCTATGCAGAGGGTTAAGTATACAGTGTTCTCCCTTCAATAATCAAAGTACGAAATCAATCACTGAAAGTTATTCTGTTTAGTGATTCACAGTGCAAGTGTTCTTTAAGATGTTCAATCTTGTTACTGATAATAAAAGGTAATGCACTCTAATGCAATGTCAAAGTTGCATAATTTCAACAATACACCAATTGTTCATTGAAAAATATGCAAAATGTTCTTCCTTAAAGCCAAAACTAACTCACAGGAAAAAAAAGTTTTGTTAGAAGAATTGTTTTGTCCTTCATTACAGACAATTTAAAGCCATGAACACAAGACTGAGAAAGATAATGCTAATTTGAGGCATTATGAAATGTGTTTTGAAATGATTCCCTGCAGTTTTTTTTTTGGGGGGGGGCAGTGTCCATTCTATAAGTAATCATCAAGGTGGTTAAATAAGATCTTCATTGTTTAAACATTTCATTAGGCTTGTACTCATGGTTTTGAAACAAAATAAAAAACATCAACATTGAAACATCTGATGTTAGTATTTTTTCCTAAGAAAATAAATCTTAAAAGTATAAAATAAAATCTTGCTTACTGCATAAAGGATATTTCCTCTCTGAAACTGTTATCTCTGATACCCAGAAACCACTTTGACAAAGTAAAGTAGGTGGACCAGATAAAGTGTAATGCTCAAAGCAATGGTATGTGACTCTGATACCTTCTTTAGGCAAACCCCAACAAGTGTTTCCCTCTGTTATGTTATAGTAGCCATTCTGGATTGCAAGGCTATCAGTAGGGCATCCTTTTTCTGAGGAAACAAAAAGAAGAAGATATAAATCTACTATTTATGGCATCATATCTTCAAGATATTGGCAATAATTAATTATTTAACAGCACATGTGGTAAGGTTGTGACAAACAGATATCAATAATTCTCATGATAATTATCCTACATATATGATCACAATACTAATACTTTGTAATTATTAACTAGTAATTACTAATTAAAATATAGATACTACTTAATGATTAGACTTTGGTCAAGGATGGCAACAGAGAGAAGTTTAATTGACTGCAAACACTCAGGAAGGAGATATTGGAGAGGTAAACAGCTTTTACACCCTAAAATGTAATCAGAGCCCATATGGAGCCCATTGCTCAAGTCCTTTATCGTAACTTTTAAAATTAATTTTAAATATAGAATGGACTATAATCATTATATTTATGTACATTATACAGACTAAATTTATACCAACATTGGTAAATATAACATTAAACTAATAAAATATAGACCTAAAGTTAACTAGACATACCCAAACATTTACAAGTCCAGCTCTATGAAAATTTTGGGCAATTGCCAACAGGCAGATTTTTATTGCCTCACCCCACCCCACCCCACTACCCATACCCCTCTTATAAGTAACACAGACTTGTTCTGGTCGTAGTGTTCTACTTACTAAATTAAAGTTGCAACAATAGTCAATACCACAAGACACTACTACTACTGAAATAATGGAATTATGATGTTGATTTATATTCAAATACTATTAGATGTTGTCTAGGGCCTTTGGGTTAGGCCATATTATTGGCATTAAGACCTTACAGGCTTATTAAACATGCAGTTGGATAAGCCTCCTTAGTACCTAACCTTGTTGCTTATGATGAGATCATTGTTAATGTTAACTTTAGACTGTTTAGTTTTAAGACTCACAACTAAGTTACGTTGTTATAGGCTAAGTCACTCACAAGTTAAGGCCTATTACATAGATCTAGGTTTGAGTCAGATTACTTTCATGACTGTGTATGAGAATTATTTTGAATGGATCATCTCTAAATTGGCACATAAACTATGACAATTTCATATGTTCAACAACAACACATCCGCCATAATGTGATGCATACTTCACTTTGAAAAACCCCCAATCAACTATATATTAACTAATATACATACTGGTCTACAATAGTTCAGTTTTCCAAAGTTGCATATCAGTAAATATTCGTCTGAATGTTTCAAAGTAAGATACATTTGTAGTAGCCATTCATCCAATAGTTTTGAGTATTAAAATTAAGAAATCAGATTTTTTATTTTAACCAATTTAATTTTTTTCAATTGATAAAAATCTGTTCTGAGATGGAACTCTGCCTTCCCTGTTAGGTGATCATATATAGGATACTAATCCTGACAACAAATTATGTAATAGTTTTAACAAACCTACAATTTTGCTATACTGCTAATATTACGATGAAAACATATAGTACTGTCTATTGGAGGAACAAAGGCAGCTTTTGACAGTATTTCAAAACAAAAAATTACTGTAAATTCTCAATCAGTTTATAAGCATCTTAGTTATTTATCACAAAAAGGTTTAGTCATTATCATCATATGTAAAAAGAGACCAGGTTTTACAAGGCCATAACATCTCCTCTTCAGATAACTTAACTATTCATCAAAGATATCTTTGATGTTCAATTATTGAGTCAAATGAGTTTATATACTAACTTCAGTGGGTTTTCTTTCCAAAGAGAGAGAGAGAGTGGGAAACTTTCCCCATTAAATCCCCCCCTCCCAGATTTTTTTGCAAGTATGAGGTTTTTATTTCTAGGTAGTAACCTTCAGTGTGAAAAAGTTAGGTACCCTTAAAACTGTACTATCTTACAAATATTTGTCAAAAAACCTCAAGGAGTACAACCAGACTATATTTATAGGCATAATAATACTTTGGCACCTAAATGTCCTATGACATCAGTCACCAAAAAAAGTCCACTGCCCCATAAAAAATTACAAAAGAAAATCCCTGAAACTGCAATTTCTTTACTTCACAAGACTAGTAAAATAGTAGAGAAAACAAATACATAATCAAAAATATCTTGCAAGCTAACATATTCCTTATCAACTCAGTGACTTTTATTCTGCTCTCTAGTCTAGTCCTAACAGCCAGTTGCAGTCTTGGTTTAAGACTTTTATTATATTTTGAATACAGATTTTGCTTTCTCTGATCACTTGTGTTGGTTTCTATTGCTGGACAGGTTCCTTTAGATTATTCAGTTGAAAAGAAGAATACAAAGTTCAGTCTACTAATTTATAACAAAGTCATTTTATTTTTTCAACTAGTAGTTTTACAAATGCCATAGTTTTATGTTACTAACCTAATGTTCACCAATTCACTGGCCAAGCTCAATAATTTCACTTACTTGCTAATTTTCTAGAATGTTTAGTTCTTCTTTTAGTATCACTGCATCACAAAAATAAACTCAAAATTTACAAAACTGAACTAACTAACTGTCTCACAGTACTTACACAACAATTTATTCACTGGCTATAAAACAAACACTCTCAATAATCCTGCTTTCAATGACTAACTCAATAATCAGTCTAATCTAGCCTAATTCATGTTCTATACCTGTTCTAAGACTTTGAAGAAAATTTTAGGCAATAGGTCATGCACTCACCACATGATGTTAAATTCCCTATTGGCCAAACCTCAAAATATTTCAAGTAACATTTACATTACCAAAAAAAAAGGCTATAATAATATTATTTAACTGCCTCTATATAACACTGACCAATTAACACCAAAATATATTTCAAATATTGAAGTTTTATGTTTAATGACAAGCTTTTTGTTTTACTCATTTCAATGACAAAAGATTGCTAGACATGAAAATATTCAAAATGTTATATTTATAAAAATACGTAAAACTAGGCACTCAATTCATTACTTTAATCCTGCACAAGTTGAAGTTTTATAGGGGTTATATATATATATATATATATAACATATATACACAAAAAGGTAGAATTTTACTTGGAATACCACAGTGAATACACATTTGACATGTGGTTACTGTAATTAACATAACCTACTTTTATTACTTAACAAAACAAGAATCAGAATCCAAAAATATCTGTTTATCTATTTTTACAGGATTCATCCCATGACCAAGAACAAATTTGCAAAAGGTGATAAGTTTTCAGGTCTTTTTTTATAAATTGTTGTATTCTGAACAAAAATTTAACAATATTTTGTACATAACTTAAATAAATTGTATAAACAAATACAATATTTAACAGCCAATTGCAACAAGCTCGAAATTTTAACATCATGTTTTAGCAATATTATGTTAAAGGATTGCCATCTTTTTTGGTAACAAAAAGGGGGGGCAACAACTAACCTCCAAAGAGTTTATACTTAATCCCTGTTCTCCAAGTGGTACCTTGAATAAACACATAGCAACGGAAGGTAATATCTGTATGGTTCACCCAGCTCTGTATCCCATACACTCTGTTCAGACTGATACTATATGTTCCATTTGGTAGCTGTATTGTTTGATCAAATGGTACACTAGATAGGTAAGACCCACGACTCTCACTGAAGATACCACAAGCAGGAGATGGCTTTGGAAACATGCCCACACACTGAAAATTAATCGTTTCACGGCAGGCAATCATATCCCTATGCGTCTTCCAACTGTTCTCCATACAAGCATCTGTAACATCAAAATACATTACAACCAAGATTTAGGATCATATAACATATATAAATGACTAAATTGGAACTTAGATACTTCTATTAATTACAGAAGAGTAGAATAAAAAAAGGAATAAAATCTCAATAATACAGTATTTACATTACAAAGTTTGGCATATATTATATAAAATTTCAAAGGCAGAATATTTGTTTTGCTTGTATTGCATATTTAAAGTCAGCATTTGAGTTGTAAAAAAGTTAATACAGGAAACTTCTAAGATCTACTAATAGATGCATGTACTCGTAATCAAACATTTAATAGTCAAAGCTTCAATATTTTTTTCTTTCTATTAACAAGGGGAATTGCATTCCCCTCATTTTGAGCAATGATTAGACAACAAGGAAATGTTGGGTAACTATATACAAAGCCTTAATTTAACTATTTGTTACGTCTCCGTTTGTTAATTAACTTTCCGTAACTTCGTTCCGACGAAACTTTAGCAACACAAGTTCTTTACTTAATAAAACTGGTTTATTCTTTCCGAATACAACCTTACGATACACTTATTTTCAACAATCGCGCTAAAACAAACGCTATATCAACGAACATC